AATTATAATACAATTTCCCCATGAACTTTCTGAAGTCCTTTCATACTGATCAACACCAGGATTTAGCCTTAAGACAGGGAGAGTCCAGGGGATTTGATCCCACTTTTCGGAAGCTTTTTCAGAGTATTCAGGCCAAACCCAAGGGTCGATCAGAGATGGTCTAAAGACTAAGCTAAGAATGCCAGAATGTTCTAAATGGAATGGCTGCATTCTGGTCTTAAATTGATATGCTAGGGACAAAAATGGCTTTCAAGGGACAAAAGTTTAGGCTACTTGTATTTTTGTTAATGCTCTCATTCTGAGATTGTATTCTATTTCCATCTCATTTTCTTCTGGCTATTTAGGGCAAGATAGTTGCCCTAAGTACTTTAGTGCCTTAAAAGAAGCTGTCATTTACAGTTTTCTATCACCCCCTCTGTGTTGCTACCTTTACTGATATATTCCAAGTTCCTTTAGGATCTGTTCTAGACCAAACTAAGTTCTAAGAACACGGAAACTTTTGACTCTCAAACTATCCCAACAAAATGCAAAATTCTAGTTTTAACTTAAAAGCTATAGAACAGCATCAACTGGAAGCTACAGTAACATAATGATGTGAACATAGTCAAGCATGTAATAAGTGAAGAATCAGATTTCCTTAGAAGATAACTTCTAAAGGTAAAGGTACAATTTCACTTGAACCTGAGCTCCTTGCTCAGTTCTTACTGAAAATGACAGTCACAAATCCTGAGGAATACTTGCTAGCTTTTAGTAAGAAATAAATATTTTCCAAAGAAAATGAAAGGTCCGTACAAGTCTTTACTCCTTGGAAAGTTGGGGGAATGAAGCAAAACCAAACCAATATAATACAATAACTGTTAAATGGATATATAACATTAGCTACAGATATGGAAGTTTTGTCTTCTCTGTAAAAAAGTGCTGAAATTATACTTGTTTAAGTAACGCAGGAGCCCTGATCATGTAGTGATTGTGCATTGGGCTGCAACCCACATGGTCGGCAGTCCGAAACTGCTAGCAGCTTCAAGGGATAAAGACTGTACGTTGTACTCTTGTAAACATGTACAGTCTCAGAAACCCACAGGGAGTTGTTATGAGCCAGTACTGACTCAACAACAGTGAGTTTGGTTTGAAATTGTTAACACATTAATATCAGTATAGTGCTGTTAAATAACTTACGTAGTCTTATAAACATACTTTGTATTAAAAGGGGAATGTTTTCAAGAATTTTATCCCAGTATTACTGCCAAAGAACAAAAATCTGCCTGTATATGACTACATTAATGCTTATTAGATGCAATCCTACATTATAGTAATTTAACTTAAAATTGGCATCTCTTTATGTGGGGGGACCAGCCTCCACAACTGAATGGGCCCTAGAGGGCAGTTATGTAATTGAGGGGCAAATTAAAGAACCATCAGATAAGGTATGCAAGGGCTCACTCTTCAATGGCGATCAGAACCAGAGCGAGCTATGCATTCTCTTAACAGGCTTATATGATCTCAGGTATGCAAGCCCCGTCATACAATTAATTATGTAAGAAGAAGGGGCTATATTAGAGGTATACATGTAGCAGGAAGGGGACATACTAAGGGTGTAACGTAACAGGAAAAGGAGTACTAGGTTCATAACTGTGACAGGAAGGCACATTCAGAACAAGATGGGCAGGTTCGAGAGTTAAGATGGAAGCCTAATCTTGGCCACCCCTGAGCTGACTTCACCTTAAGTGTCCCTGAGCTCTTCTCCAGGGGAACAACCTCTGATCCTTAGCAGAAGGGTGTGGGCTGTACTTAGGGTGGGGAAGACAGTAGGGTCTGACTGCTCATCATAGCAGACAGCCTTCAAGCAGTTCACTTTCAAGAGTACAGTAGCAACCATGGGCTTGAAAGAAGCACATTAAAAAAAAAAAAGAAAGAAGCACATTAAAAATGGCATTATGAAGGGGGGGGCATTGTGGGGAACAACTTTTACTTAGGAGGATGTGACTGGGATGCATCTCCAACTCATGAGTGTGAAGGCCTTCCTAGACACCTTACATAGGAGTATAGAGCATTTGTCCGCATACACGTTCTTCCTGGTTCTCAGTTTCCCACAATCCACAACTAGCTATGGTGGATAAGGCAAAAGGAAACTGGTGCTAAAACAAAGTCTTACATTATTTCAGCTTTCACAATGTTATTTATCTCACCATTAAAAAAATCAAGATTTTGTAGTTTTAATCGAGTATACTATTCTTTCCAAAAAAGTAGGCTGTGCTATAACAATATAAGACTTCCACATGAGAGAAATTCCTTTGTATTCTTATGCCCAAATAAAATTGCCAACTTTCTATTTCCTGAAAACATAAGAGAAATACCGTATTCTAGGATGAAGCAAAACTACAATGGGAAAAAACAAAACAAACCTTTGATGCAAAAAGTTTTTTCACGCATGGACTTGCGGTAATATATACCAAAAAAGAGAAGCAAAATGGAAGTTGTCAGCTCTTCTACTAGTTATGATGCTTCATTACAGATATATGTTCAGGTTTCCTTTTCCGTATGTTAATGTATAGCATTTCATTAAATTGTATTCATAAACTTGGGACTACATACACATGAATTTTACCTTTAACAAACACAAGTCAGGTAAAGGATTCATAAGAAATATTTACTGAATCTTTGTTGGGTAAATGTTGGACTGTTAACCACCAGGTTCTTTACACATCTCATAAAAATCTTTGGAGAAAGGTTCTATTGTTTCCATTGAAACTTTAAAAAAAGTTTTAATTGATATATAAACCATAAATGTAGGAATGAATTTTGGGCTTGCACTGAATTCTAGCTTCAATCTAAGAACAATTAGCCTTATGACATGACTCTGCTTGATGCCCGACCTCATGAAGTGTAGGGGTCAGCCTCCACAACCGAATAGGTCCTAGGGGGCAGTTGTGTAGTTGAAAGGTAAGTTAAAGAAACATCAGGCAAGGCATGCAAGGGTTTACCTCTTCCATGGAGATTGGAACCAGAGAGGGAGGGAATGTAATCTCTCACAAGCTTATAAAATCTTAGGCATGCAAGCCACGTCATCCACAGAGGCAGGTTCGAGAGTTAAGATGGCGAGACCTAACCTTGGCCACCCCTGAGCTGACTTCACCGTGGGTGTCCTTGAGCTCTTCTCCAGGGGAACCATCCATGATCTAGGAGAGGGCTGTACACAGGGTGGGGTGGTCTGATGGCTCTTGATGGCAGACAGCCTTTTCCCATAATGAAGGTATTACTGAAGATATGGGTGGCTAGAGAAAACTATGGTGAAGAAACCAGATGGTACCCAGGTATAAGAAAGAATATAATCTGGAGTCTTAAAGCTTGTTACAAATAAGCCGCCGTCTAAGTGAGGAATCAACGAAGTTCACATGGAAGAAGCATACCAGCCTGTGTAAACAATATAATCCATTTAATGGAAGGAATGGTATCAGAGCTTAAATTGTGAACACTGTGGATGAGTGGAGGGCCAACATCCATTTTCAGGGTCCATACATGGTTAAGTCTCCAGTGAATCCCCTCTGATCATAACTTAGGGATGTGAACAGACCTATTATCAGGCAGAGAGCATTGTAAAGTCAATTAAGGTACATGTAGTTAGGTCAAAATGTAGTATCTTTTAATTTGATCTCTCTTATGGCCCATTTTAAAGGTGTTTCAGTTAAAAAACAAAAGTGAAGGGAGAATAGAAGTGGATTAAGCCCTAGGGAATGCCCTCTGACCATGGACCAGTAATTTGAATAGCCTTGCTAAGATGCAGAATGTGCTGGAAAGTGGATTGTTGAAGATGGAGTTAGGTTAAAATTTAGCACCCTATCCTTTGATCTCCCTTATGACCTGTCTAAAATTTGTTCTGGTATTCAATATTTTCTGTTTTATTTTGATATTCTTGTCAGTTAAAAAAATTCTGTCTATGAAATGCAGGATAGGTAAATCTAGAGAGACAGTAACTGGATTAATGGATCCTTGAGGGTATGGCAGGGGAAGTTGGGGAAGATAATAATGACGAGTACAAGAATGAAGAAAATGTTCTAAAACTATTGTGGTGAAGCTTGTACACCTCTTCTTGATACAAATGAACGATTGAATTGTAGGACATGTGAACTATATGCCAATGAAACTGTTGAAAAAAAGTAAAAATAAAGCCAAATGAAAAACTCAAAAAAGAAAACAATCTAAAGGAGTAAATGATATTAGAACTTCAATTGCAAAACAAACAAAACACCTTTAAACAAGTAAAAAAAAAACGTTCAAATTACTTGCCCCAAATCATAGGCCAACTTTGGCATTCGTCTTCCTGACACAGAAAGCTAAATTACTCTTGGATTTGATGCCTTAACCTCACCCCCAACAGGGGCAAAACACTTGTCTTTGTCATATGAGGTTAAAGGGAACGAGGCTTCTTGTGCTGTAACATTTTCAATTTATCCTTCATTGATTTGGTCAGAAATGAAGAATCTGACTCACAATGTTCTTATTTAC